GGAAACCTGAAGAATATAGCGCAATCTGCTAAAAACAAGAACTGAGCTTTCCTGAACAAGATCCGAGAATTGCACAGGTATCGCTCAGGACTTTCCAGGTTCTCTCAGGAGGTTGTCCATCACTCACGATCTTGTTAGTGATCTGGATAGTCAGGTGGTTGTCCTGGCATCCAAGTTTCACTCTATGATCTTACATTGTATATTTAACAGATATGTGACTCAGTTTTTTCATTTGTCAAATAAAAACAGTTAGCATGAAGGCAGGAAGCATGTGGGCACACGTGCGCATGACTCTTCATGCCCTCAACTTTCAAAAGGGGGAAAATTACTGTCAAGCCCATGATAGACACACTAAATCATCTCCCTCCATTGCCAAATGCAAGTCATGGATGTATTTGTCCTATGACAGGGGGACATTACAGTGTTTCCTTCTGTACACTTACCTCTACCAAATCCAACCTCTCTGTGCCCAGCCAGATTGGACAGTTGAATTCCCAAACTTAGTGTAGAAAAACTGAAACATAAATTGATGACTCTATACTGAACCTCAGAGTCAAAGCATTCTATAATAGACATACTCTTATCTGACAATGTGACTGTTACTTTCTTTGTATTATTATTATTATTGCTTAATACTTCATTGCAGCCATCGTCTGATTTCTTTTCTGAATGTATTTATCTTCATTCATTCTTTGCGAGGTTTTTGTTTCTAGTCCTTCTCTTAAACATTGTTATTGTTGGTAAATTTTAAGACTTTTTAATTCTGTGAAGGCAAAAAGTGGAAACCCAATGATCACATGTATATGTAAAAATAAAAAATAATAATAAAAAAAGAAAAGAAAAAGTGATACATACGTAATGGCTGAATATCACTATGGTTACCAGATGACCGAGGGCAGTACTTCGAAGGTGACCGTAGTGGTACTCAGCAATGAGGTATCTAGCACTTTTTCTAGGATTAGTTTGTGAACTTAATTGTCTAACCATGTATCTCAACTATGCTATACGTTTATTTATAACTCTCCTTTGCAAAAAAAATTATCCTGCATTCAGATTTCTGAATGAAGGGGATAATAAATGGGAAAGCCATATGGTCAGTTTAGGTGGCATTTTACGTGCTTTATCCTTTCTTCCTATAATAGTAACCTGTACTTGCCATGGGGGCGTTACGTCCCCCTACTCTCAGACTTGTGGGAGGAGTTAGCCCCCTCAGCTTCATTGCCTGGGCCACAGTGACAGTTGGAAGAGTCAGTCAGAGCTAAGGAGACACAGCTGGGGACTTTAGCTTGCAACTGTGCTCTTTCTGCTGTACTTGAATCTGGGAGGATGCACTTGATATCTTGAATAATTCCCTCTCTTCATCTCTCCACCCTACTCTGTGCACAAAACTGGTCTGCACAATATAACTTCCCTCTGGCTTCTGGTTGAATTCTGCCCAGGAGGAGTACTAGCAGGAGGTCAGAGGGAGGGGAAAGAGAGAGGCTGGGCCTGACTCCTACTTAAAGTTGCTTATCCCCCTCCCCTCCGGCCCCCGCTGCCCAGAGGTGGTCAGACAGTGCAGGCTGGGTGGTAGGAGGCCCTATTCTATGAACTCAGGGTTCATTCAGGGACTCAGGTCCAACTTCTTCTCTGCTAGTGTTTTCTCCTCATGTCCAGAGCTGCTTCATCAGTACCACATTCACATTTTAGCTAAGGAAAGGAGGAGAGGGAAAGTGAGGGGAAAGCAGGTAGTTTCTCTATAAAAATGTGGTTTCAGGCTGGGCGCACTGGCCCACGCCTATAATCCTAGGACTCTTGGAGGCTGAGGCACGTGGATCGCCTGAGCTCAGGAGTTCAATACCAGCCTGAGCAAAAGGGAGACCCTGTCTTTACTAAAAATAGAAATAAACTAGTGGGTGTTGTGGCAGGCATCTAAACTCCCAGCTACTTAGGAGGCTGCAGGAAGGGGATTGCTGTGAGCTGTGAAGGCACAGCACTCTACCCAGGGCACAACGTGAGACTCTGTGTCCAAAAAAAAAGGTTAAAATTTGCACGTATTACCTCTCCTTGCATCTCATCCACTAAATCATTGTCACATGGTTCCCCTGGCTTGCAAGCGATGGGGGAAAATATAAAATCTAAACAGGCATCCACATGCTCTAATAAAACTCAGGGCCAGATCACTGAAAGAAAGATGGGAGCCGTTTGACCTTGAATGGCTAAAATTAAAAAGATTGATGATACCAAGTGGGTGTGAGTATAAAATGGTACATCTGCCTTAGAGAACTCATTGGTCATTCCTTTCCTAGGTATCAACCTAAGAGTAATGAAAACATATGTCAAGAGATGTTCTGGAAAAGGCAGAACTATGGAGCCAGTAAAAGGATCAGTGGTTGTCAGGGGTTAGAGGAAAGGGGGGGGGGATACATAGGCAGAGGATTTTTAGGGCAGTGAAAATACTTCATGTCATATTATAATGGTGGATATATGTCACTATACATTTGACATTTGTCCAAACCCAGAAAATGTACAACACCAAGTATACAAGCCTAATGTGAAGTACGGGCTTTCAATGGGAATAATATGTCAATATAGATTTGTCAATTGCAACACATGTATCACTCTGGTGAGGGGTGTTGATAATGGTGGAGGTTGTGCATAGGTGAGAAATCTCTGCTGTAAACCTATAACTGCTCTTTAAAAAAGTCTTTAAAATAAAAATAAAAAGCCTCTCCCCCCAAAAAAGTTTGTCCAAGAATAATGAAAACATGTATCATTGACCAAAATTAAGGCCGCTAAGGCAGAAATAATTTGATAAAAGTTTACATATTTATTTAGTTTTGAGACAGAGTCTCACTCTGTCACAGTGGGTAGAGTGCCAAGGCATCGTAGTTCACAGTAACCTCAAACTCCTGGGTTCAAGTGATCCCCTTGCCTCAACCCCCAGAGTAGCTGGGAGTACAGGCCCCTGCCGCAACGCTCAGCTACTTTTTCTATTTTTAGTAGCGATGGAGTCTGGCTTTAGCACAGGCTGGTCTCAAACTCCTGAGCTCAGGTGATCCACCTGCTGTAGCCTCAAAGATTGCTAGGATTATAGGTGTGAGCCACTGCACCCGGCCTGATAAAAGTTTATTTTATTTATTTTATTTTTTTATTTCAGATTAATGTACAGTTAGGTTACAATGTTTGCTTTTGTTAGGTAAAGCCTGTGTTGTAGTTGTGTCCTGCACCCAGCAGCTGTGCCACGTAACCTTACATTGTGCCCATTAAATGGGAGCACACCATCCCCTTTCCTCCTCCCTCCTTCTTTCCTGCCCTCCCATCTTGAATTGAATTGAGTTTTTCTCTTGTGTGGGTATTAGATTGTCTACTGGCTTCATACTACTTTTGAGTACATTGGATACTTGCTTTTCCATTCTTGTGATACTGTATTAAGAAGAATGTGTTTCAACTCCATCCAGGTTAATACAAAAGATACAAAGTCTCCATCTTTTTTTTTTTTTTTGGCAGTTTTGGCTGGGGCTGGGTTTGAACCCCCCACCTCCGGCATATGGGGCTGGCGTCCTACTCCTTTGAGCCACAGGCACCTGGGCTGATAGGCATTTAGGTTGTTTCCACATCTTAGTGATTATAAATTGAGTTATTGAAAGCCAAGTTTGAGGTAGACCCAGGAAAACACCCCACAAAGTTGGGTGGGTTCCAAGTCTATTGTAAGTTGGAATGTTTTTATAACAAAATTTAAGAGAATTAACTTTGCCTATTGGAACTGTCCTTTTTCTTTGGAAGGTACAATATAGAGGTGACAGTCATTAGCTATAGAAGACAACATATAGGCTAAGATGTTTTAGGAGCAAGACAATCACTAAAACGTCATGATTCAGAAACAAATTAGCAACACTTCATGCCACCATCCAGGGCCCTTGCCTTACCCAGCTGAAGTCTGTTTCAGGCTTTCACTGAGTCTTTTCATCACACCTCCAAAAGTGAGAAACCTGTGAGCATTTCCTTGGCTGAGCCTAGTCAAGCCTGCATGTTAATACAGTAACTTCCAAGGAGATAGGGGAGAGAATATTTCATTTGGCATCCAGACTGGGAGGTGGGGCCCCCAAATGGCCAATATTCACAACTTAATTTATTGTTCAGATTCTTGCTTATCATTCCAACCCTGTCTAGGACTTCCCAGATCCAGGAGGAGCCCAATGTAGATAATTATGATCCAAACTACTGATCTACGCTTTGAAGAGCTTGCCCTGAAGAATCAGGTGTAGAAGGTCTCTCTAGGCCAACCATGTAGGAGATCCAAGTGGGCCAAGACCTGGGCAGGGAGACCAGTTATACTGGTGAGACACGATGAAAGCTTGAATTACATGAGGAAACTATTTGGAAGGTAGATGAGATGACAGGACTTGGTGATGAATCTGGAATGTGTAAAGACTAGAAGACGCCAAACGAGGGCGGCGCCTGTGGCTCAAAGAGTAGGGCACCGGCCCCATATACCAGGCGTGGGGGGTTCAAGCCTGACCCGGCCAAAACTGCAAAAAACAAACAAACAAACAAACAAAAACAAGAAGAAGCCAAATGAGATGGCCCCATTTCCGACTTGGGGGGCAGGGGGAGGTATGATGGGCATGACTGTGTGTGTATAAGGACAGTGACACTTAAGCGAAGCAAGGAATCGGTTAGTTTTATTCCTCTTTGGGGTGGATGGATGGGGAGGATTAAGTTTTTGGCGGGGTGAATTTGAGATGAAGATTTTCAACACCCAATTGAAATTAGTTCGGGGGACCAGCAAAGGTCAAGTCTGGGGTGTCTACTGTCTGGGCCTGGGTGAGCTGGTCTAGAGGGTGAGGAAGAGCGCGGGGAGAAGGTCCCACCGGGTCCTGCCTTTTAGGGAGCGGTCACCCCGCCGCGCACGTGCCCTCGGGGCACGGTCAGGGCGCCCCGGCGGAGCCGCGAGCCCGTCGCAGACCCCGCCCCTTTGGGCGGGGCGAGGCGGCGTCTAGGCCAAGTCAACCCGGAAGACGAAGCCGGGTAGGGGCGGGCTTGGCCACCTCGGGCCCCTCGGGCTTCCCCCGGGGGGTGCAGCCACGGGAGGGTAGGGAGGATGCCCTGATGCCCGGGTTAGCGGCGCTGAGCGTGGCGGCGGCTGCTCTGGTGGCTGCCTTGTTCCTACTGCGGAGTGAAGACGCGGGCCCGGGGGCTGCCCCCAGGTAACCCCAGGGTAGAGGACCGAGCTGGGCCCACACTCCTCCCGGGCCGGGGATGCGGTGGGGGAAGGGGCCCCGGGTGGTGCCGGCAGTTCGTGGCACCTAGGCGCACCTTCCAGCTCCCGCCCCTTCCGAAGTGTCTGTTGGCCCAGGTGAGGGCACGGCCGAGGCGCCGCGCTCGCAGGTGACTCAGCGCTTTCCCCGGTGCGGATTCTGCGGAGAATGACAATAGCTTTCTCCGGCACAGATAAACAGCCCTCCTCCCCGGGGTAGGACGCGCAGTCCCTTAACGTCCTAACACCAGCCCCTGTTGATGTTATTTCCCCAGCATGGACGAAACCGAGGCGCTGCCGAAGCTTCGGGAAGACTTCAGGATGCAGAATAAATCCGTCTTCATTCTGGGCGCCAGTGGAGAAACCGGCAGAGTGCTCTTAAAACAAATTCTGGAACAGAGCTTGTTTTCCAAAGTCACACTCATTGGCCGGAGGAAACTCACGTTCGATGAGGAAGCTTATAAAAATGTGGTGGGTATTGGAGCTGGGTCTCAAGTGTATCCCCAGTGATTCTGCGAGGCAAGCAAATTTCATGCCCAACTGCAGAACACTGCCCTGCCAGCGATGGAGGCAGGGAAGGCATCAACATTTGGGCACATTTGGTCCATGAGAGCCGGTCTGGGAAGCGCTTCCCTGCCTTTGTGTAGCCTGGAGCAAAGCCCTTCTCTCCACCTCCGAGTTTTATGAAGCTGGGCCTAGGTTGTAATAGGGGCTGGTGAGACAGAAAAACACGGTTTTCAGGATCACATAAGCTGGTTTCTAGGGATGATCTTGTAACGTTGGCAGTTTTCTCAATCACTTTGCTTGTTTTGTCTTCTGTGCACTTATCGCTAAAGTTGTCCATGAATTTGAAAATTCTTCCCAGAGTGAGAAAGGTCTGTGACAGTGAGAGTTGGGTTATTCACTTAAAAGAATTTGTCTTGCTTGGCGTCCCCGGCTTGTGTCTGCAGAAAGAATACTCCCTTCACTGTAAATTATACTTTTATGGTTAAGTGAATGATACACCTGACTTTGATCTGGTGATAACCTCCTAAATACCTGCCCTAAATATCTGAAGTGTGAGTTTCATGGAGGTTCTGTTCTCCATTTAAACTGTGAACAAGACGGTGTGATCCTGAGACACCACTACAGAATTTGGTCCTACAGGTTTCATAAGAGGAGCATTCTAAATAACACCTGGTCTTGAAAATAAATGTTCACAGTACAGTTTCATGGGCCGGGTCAGATACTCATGGTCATCGGACACTGAATTTAAGATCCGTGTTTAGAAGAGCTGAGTTTTGTTGGCACATCTTTTGATTAGGCACTTTGTGAAAACCTAATTTTTCTTCAATGTTGTGTGCAGTGCCAGAAAAATTCTTTTGAAAGAATTGATGGGAGAAAACCAACATCTTATTGAACTCCTGGATGATGGGATCATCTCAACTTTTTGTTTTTCTTTTTCATCTTTTTTTAGAGACAGGATCTGGCTCTGTTGCCCAGGCAGAGTACCGTGGCATCATCATAACTCACTGCAACCTCAAACTCCTGGGCTTGAGCTATCCTCCTGCCTCAGCCTCCCAAATAGCTGGGATTTCAGATGTGAGCTACCACGACCTGCCAATTTTTCTATTTTTTGTATAGATGGGGCTGCTAAGGCTAGTCTCAAACTCCTGCCCTCAAGCGATGCTCCTGCTTCTGCCTGCCAAAGTGCTAGGATTACTGGCGTGAGCTATACCCAGCCTCAAGCTTTTTCTTTTAAGTTTTACTGTAC